TGACCCATAAAGGATATATGGCTGTAATCCAATGAGAAAAAACACCTGGTGTGAAGGCCTGCTCCAGCTCTTCCAGGAAGGGTCATAGGCCAAGACACTGTTCCCAATGACCCCAGCGTGAAGCCTACCTGCAAGGGCCTTCCATCTCTGGAAGCCACTGCTCTGTAACTGACCAGGCTGCTCTTATGTGGAGGAGGCCTTAAAAGGGTCAGCAGCAGCCAAGAAATACCCTACGATGTCAATCAGTTGATCATTCTCAGGGTCACAGACAATTACCATGCTCAGTTACTGCAGTGGGCGGTGTTTTTAACATGTGTTGAGCTGTGTCAATGAAGGCCTGAAACAGTTCTCCACGTCCCAGAAGGTAAAAGTCTTTAATGATCTGAGGAAAGAATTTCAATTTACAATTCAGTAAAGCAAGGCAGGAGCTCTTCACTGTCCTGAGGAATTACACGTATACAGTAATTTCTAATTTCATCAATTTGAGCCCAAGCTACAAAAGATACAGGCATTTGGCATTTCAAAGAGGCATTCTTAGTTCCACATAGCAGGATGACTGGTGTGTATTTGGCATTATTTATTCAATAGCAACATAATTATATATATTTATGTACCAGAAAAAAGTATACTCCCAAATCTTTGTATTATAGTAGATTTTTGGCATTAGGTATAGTTTGCTCACTTGGATAAGAACAAGTGAGTCGACTCTGGAAGTCTGGGTATAGGCAACCAGTGCTCTCAGGAAATGTCAGAGAATGCAAGTCACTGCCTACCAGCATCACTGTAAGAATCACAACGACAGTTAAGCCATTACCTTCAGCTGACCCAGTAAATCGGATTCTTCTACCATCAACTTCCAGAGATGCTATGAAAACAACCAACAAAACAGGGACAAATTTCATTACAGTGAGAAATCCTGCAAAGAATGGTTCCATACAAATCCAGCAATGTATTAAAAGAAGACTATACCTTGCCCCACACAGAAAAATTCACTCAAAAGGATCAATGTATTATTCCGTTCTCCCACTGCTGTAAAGAATACCTTAGACTGGGTCATTATAAAGAAAAGAGGTTTAGTTGCTCACAGCTCTGCAGGCTGTACAGGAAACATAGTGGCTTCTGCTTGGCTTCTAGGGAGGCCTCAGGAAACTTACAGTCATGGCAGAAGGCAAAGGCATCTCACATGGCAGGAGTGGGAGCAAGAGAGAGCAAGGGGGAGGTGCTGCACACATTTAAACAACCAGATCTCACGAGAACTTACTATCGTGAGGACAGTACCAAGGGGAATGGTGCTAAACCATTCATGAGAAACAGCCTCATGATCCGATCATCTCCCACCATGCCCCACCCCGCCCTGCCTCCAACACTGGGGATTACAACTCAAGAAATTTTGGTGGGGACACAGATCCAAGCATATCAATCATAGACCTGGGTATAAAAATGAAAACTATAAAATTTCTGGAAGAAAACAGAAGAGAAAATCTTTATATCCTTGAGTTAGGCAGAGTTCTTAGATATAATACCAAAAACATGATCCATAAAAGAAAAAAAAAAGGTAAACTGGATTTCATCAAAATTAACAACTTCTGGGACAAGTCATAAACTGTGAGAAAATAGGCCGGGCACGGTGGCTCATGCCTGTAATCCCAGCACTTAGGGAGGCCGAGGCGGGTGGATCACAAGGTTAGGAGTCTGAGACCATCCTGGCTAACACGGTGAAACCCCATCTCTACTAAAAGTACAAAAATTAGCCAGGCGAGGTGGCAGGCACCTGTAGTCCCAGCTACTTGGGAAGCAGAAGCAGAAGAATCACTTGAACATGGGAGGCAGAGCTTGCAGTGAGCTGAGACCATGCCACTGCACTCCAGCCTGGGCAACAGGGTAAGACTCCATCTCAAAAAAAAAAATTGTGAGAAAATATTTGTAGGTCACATATCTCTTAAAGAACTTAAATTCAGAATACATGAAGGACTCTCAAAATTCAACAACAAGAAAACAAAAACCCAATACAAAATGGGCAAAGAGGCACATGAAAAAATGTTCAACCTCACTAGTCATTACAGGCATGCAAATGAAAAAGACAACGGGAAATCTCAGCACTTTGGGAGGCCGAGGCGGGCGGATCACGAGGTCAGGAGATCGAGACCAGCCTGGCTAACATGGTGAAACCCCGTCTCTACTAAAAACACAAAAAATTGGCTAGATGTGGTGGCGGGCGCCTGTAGTCCCAGCTGCTCGGGAGGCTGAGGCAGGAGAATTGCCTGAACCCGGGAGGCAGAGGTTGCAGTGAGACGAGATTGCGCCACTGCACTCCAGCCTGGGCAACAGAGTGAGACTTTGTCTCAAAAAAAAAAAAAAAGAGTATTTTATATATATATATCATAGGTGATACAGAGGACATATGTATAATAAAAGGAAAAGCACAACATTTATTATAAATATGCGCATGCTTCACAGGTATCCTCAAAATGTACAATTAGAACATACATAGAAGTCTACACTCGACACAGAATATACATTCTCCAGGCACATGTAGGACAGCTAAAAACAAAAACCAGACCCTGTATTAGTCCATAAAGAAACCTGCAATAGATTCCAAAGAAACAATATTATACAGACCATGCTCTCAAACTATAATGCAATAAAATTAAAACAATAAATTCCTTGGTTAAAAAATCATAAACAAAATTAATTAGAATTATATAGACTATAATGAAAACACTACATGCCAAAAACTTGTGAGACACAGTAAAAACAATATGCAAAGTTTTATATATATTTCTCAGAAAACACAGGTTAAAAATAAAGGAGTCAAGCTTTCAAACTGGTTAAGAGTAACTAAAAAAAAAACACGAAGGAAGAAAATAATAAAGAAAAAGGCAGATATCAATGAAACAGAGAATTCAAACAAAATATACATATATATGTGTGTGTATATATCTCTTATTTCATTTTATTTTTATTTTATTTTATTTTGAGATGGAGTCTCACTCTACTGCCCAGGCTGGAATGCAGTGGCGCCATCTCAGCTCGCTGCAACCTCTGCCTCTCAGGTTCAAGCAATTCTCCTGCTTCAGCCTCCCGAGTAGCTGGGACTAGAGGCGCGCACCACCGCACCCGGCTAATTTTTGTAGTTTATTTTAGTAGGGACAGGGTTTTGCCACATTGGCCAGGCTGGTCTCAAACTCCTGACCTCAAGTGATCTGCCTGCTTCGGCCTCCCAAAGTGCTGGAATTACAGGCGTTAGCCACTGCACCTGACCCCAAAATATACATTTAAAAAATAAAATTAAAAAAAGAAAAAGCCTGGCGGGCACAGTGGCACATGCCTATAGGCCCAGTTACTCGGGGGGCTGGGGCAGAAGCTTCACTTGAGTCTAGGAATTCTAGGCGTAGTGTGCTACACCTATTAGGTGTCCACAATAAATTCGGCATCAATACCGTGACCATTTGGGAGTGGGGGACCACCAGGTTGCCTAAGGATGGGTGAACTGGCCCAGGTCAGAAATGAAACAGGTCAAAACTGTAGTGCTGGGGCGTGGTGGCTCAGACCTATAATCCCAGCACTTTGGGAGACTGAGGTGGGATGAGTGCTTGAAGCCAAGACTTCTAGACCAGCCTGGGCAACACACTGAGACTCCGTCTCTACAAAAAGTTTAAAAGTTAGCAGGGCATGGTGATTTGCACCTGTAGTCCTAGCTACTCAGGAGGCTGAGGCAGGAGGATTGCTTTACCCTAAGAGTTCAAGATTACAGTGAGCTATGATCACAACACTGCACTCCAGCCTGGGAGACAGAACAAGACCCTGTCTCTGGGAAAAAAAAGAGAATGAAAGGCCAGGTGCTGTGGCTCATGCGTCTAATCCCTGCACTTTGGAAGGCTGAGGCAGAAGGGAGGATCGCCTGAGCCCAGGAATTGGAGGCTGCAGTGAGCTAGGATTACACCACTGTACTCTAGCCTGGGCAACAGAGTAAGAAGAGTAAGACTGTATCACCAAAAAAAAAAAAAAAAAAAAAAAAAAAAAAAAAATTAACCAGGCATGGTGGCACGCTCCTCTAGTCCCAGCTACTTGGGAGGCTGAGACGGGAAATCCACTGAGCCTGGAGGTTGAGCTGCAGTGACTCATGATTGCACCACTGCTCTCCAGCTTGGGTGACACAGCGAGACGCTGTCTCTAAAAATTTTTTTTTAATTAAAGAAAAAGCCAGGCCCAGTGGCTCACGCCTGTAATCCCAGCACTTTGAGACGCCGAGGTGGGTGGATCACTTGAGGTCAGGAGTTCGAGACCAGCCTGGCCAACATGGTGAAACCCCATCTGTACTAAAAATACAAAAATTAGCTGGATGTTGTGGCACACGCTTGTAATCCCAGCTACTCAGGAGCTGAGGTGGGAGAATCCCTTGAACCTGGGAGGTGGAGGCTGAAGTGAGCTAAGATTGCGTCAATGCACTCCAGCCTGGGCCACAGTGAGACTCTGTCTCAAAAAAAAAAAAAAAAAAGAAAGAAAGGATAAAAACAAAAGCTTGTTCTTTGAAAAGACTAATAAGACTAAACAATAAAAAGAAATTCTAAATAAATAAAACATAAATGACTACAGATTTTTACAAATTAAATCTATATGAAATAGGTAAATTCCTAGAAAATACCAAAATTAATACAAGAAATAACTGGTTTATGTCAACAGGTTTTAAATACACTGAACTAGTTAAGTTTTCCCTCCTAAAAATATCTAGCTTAGATTATTTTTCAGGTAAATTCAAACTTTCAGTAAGAATTCCTATCTTATATAAACTGTTCTTAAAAAACAGAAAAAGAACAAAACCCAACTAGCCCATTTTATGAGGACCGTAGAGTCTTTATTCCAAATCCACATAAGCAAAATACAGGGAAAGAAGGGTATAGTCTTATTTCATTGGTGACACGGTGTGGCTGTGTCCCCACCCAAACCTCATCTTGAATTGTAGGTTCCATAATTCCCACGTGTCGTGGGAGGAACCCGGTGGGAGGTGATTGAATCATGGGGGTGGTGTTTCTCATGCTGTTCTTCTGAGAGGGAATAAATCACTCTTATAAAGGGGTGATTTATTTTATAATAAATTACATTTTTATATTTTTTATAGTATTTTATAAAGGGGAGTCCCCCTACACAAGCTCTCTTGCCTGCTGCCATGTAAGACCTGACTATGCTCCTCATTCGTCTTCAGCCATGACTGTGAGGCCTCCCCATCTATGTGGAACTGTGAGTTCATTAAACCACTTTCCTTTACAAATTCCCCAATCTTGGGTATGTCTTTATTAGCAGCACGAGAACAGACTAATACAACTAGTGATTACAGATGTAAAACATCACAATCAAGTAGTGTTTATCTCAGGAAGAACCAGCATCTCCAAATCTAACCAGAAATTTATCATATAAATAGACTAAAAGAGAAAAATAGCCCAGAGCAAGAAACTGAACCTTAATTGATACAGAAAGAGCACTTGATAAAATTCAACATCTACTTATGATAAAAACCTCTGGACTGGGTATGGTGGCTCACAGAAGGACCACCTGAGCCGAGGAGTTCAAGACCAGCCTGGGCAACACAGCAAGACCCCATCTCAAAAAGTAATCATAAAAATAGAAGGAAAGTTCTCTCATTTGCAGATGGTATGGTCATCTGCTTAGAACAACTGATATAATCAGACTATTAGAACCAAAAAGAGTTCAACGAGTTGCAAGGTATAAGATTAACCTACAAAAAGTAATACCACCATTTCTCTATGTAAGCAGTAAAAGCTAACAAAAGACATAATTAAAATAAAAACTATTAAGTACTTCAGAATTTTTAAAACCTTTTTGTTTAAGTACTAAAATATATACAGAAAAGTACAAGTCATAAGTTCACAGCTTGAAGATTTTTACAAATTGAACACCTGTATTACCAGCACCCAGATCAAGAAATGGAACCAACTGAGTGTTCCAGCATCCTAGAGGCCCCGCTCATGCCCCTCCCACTGACTCAAAGGCAAATACAGTCCTGACTTCTAGCGCCAGGTTCACTTCGCCTGTGTTTGAACTTGACAGAAATAGATTCACATAGTACACACACTTTAAAGGAAAAATTTTTTACAGGAGAGAAAGAATTCCAAAAGGGATAAATATAACACATATTTACAAAACACTCCCCCCTTTTCCTTCAGGGCACACCATTTCTTTTCATTGCTGTAGGCTGTTATTGTTGCAATGATGCTTTCCAAAGTCTATTAGCTACAATTCTAAGAAACTCCAAAGAGCCTGTGCTTCAGTTTGCTTATCATTTTTACAAATTGGAACATAATTTCTAGCAAACTTTCACAAGAAAAAAACAATTTTTCCTATTGTTTATAATTCACTCAGTACAATTTTACTTTTCTCCATTAATTATATTTTCCAAAGATTTGTAATAAAAATGATAAGACAACAGAAATATACAATTTTCAAAAATGAAAGGAACTGATATCAACCCCTCTAGACTAGAACCTGCCTTGGCCTATAGACGGGGGTGAGGCAACGTCTTAAAATTTTGAAAGGACAGGAACATGGGTCATTTAGATATTTACTTGCCCAGAAAGAATCAAATCAAACAATACTTCACAGCCATTTTAAGACTGAACATTCTGTGTCTACAACACAGTTCTATCTGTGATGACCAGGAGTTTTTGAGACAGTGACTAGAAAGGGAAACCATATTTATAATAGATTATTATGCTTCCAACCCATGGAGAGTTGATGCTCTTAGCAGTTCCAGACACTGAGCGAAGTGCACTGCTTTTTAGTTCTATTTTCAGAATCCCCTGTAGAGGTCTTTGGTGGATGGACTGGCTTGCTTAAATAGAAGTTCCTACTGGGCGTGGTAGCTCACACCTGTAGTCTCAGCACTTTAGGAGGCCAAGGCAGAAGGATCGCTCGAGCCCAAAAGTTCAAGACTAGCCTGGCCAACATGGCGAAACCCCCATCTCTATTAAAATACAAAAAAGTTTGCCAAGCATGCTGGTGCAGGCCTGCAGTCCCAGCTACTCAGGAGGCTGAGGCACATGAATTGCTTCAACCTGGGAGGCGGAGGTTGTAGTGAGCCATGATCACTCCACTGCACTCCAGCCTGGGCGACAAAGCAAGACCCTGTCTCGAAAACAAAACAAAACAAAAGTACTGACCCTCTACTGACCTACGAATCAGAAGGTCTGGAAGTAAGGACTTGGTGCAAGTGCAGGTTTTAAAATTTCCTCACACGGGCCAGGCGTGGTGGCTCACGCCTGTAATCCCAGAACTTTGGGAGGCTGAGGTGGGAGGATCACTTGAGCTCACAAGTTTCAGACCAGCCTGGCCAACATGGTGAAACCCCATCTCTACTAAAAATACAAAAATTAGTAGGGCGTGGTGATATGTGCCTGTAATCTCAGCTACTTGGGGGGCTAAGGCAGGAGAATTGCTTGAACCTGGGAGGTGGAGGTTTCAGTGAGCCGAGATCACGCCATTGCACTCCAGCCTGGGCAACAGAACAAGACTCCATAAAAAAAATAAAAATAAAAACTAAAATTTTCTCATGCGATCCTATGCTTAGCCAATGTTGAAACCCATGAATATAGTTAACAACGCAGTTGACTAAATGTCTCATTTCATGTTATCACACATCCATGAGACAAATGTTAATATAAGCCACAGAACATATATGCTCCTTTGAAAACTTACTGGTCACAATTTAAGTCGGTGGCAGCAGCACAATTCAAAATGAGGAAGACTGCGCTCCAGGAGTCGGAGGCCTGGCACTGACTTCACTATGGCAACTCACTGTGCCACACCAGACAAGCCAGACAAGTCAGTGTGCTGAGTGTTTGCTCCATTTATAAGAATGAGAAAATGATATTTGTTCTGCTTTCCTCATGATTGTGTATTTAAATGAAAGTACAAGTTATAAGCCATACTAAACTACAAGAAAGACACTAAATTTAGTCAGAATTAGTTGATTCCTAGGAGTTATTGCAAATGATAGAGACAGATCCAAAATGCGATTTTCAAAATTTAAACCAAGACCTCCCCTTTATTCAACTAACTAACCAACTAAAAACCACTTGTTTTTTAGTTAGATAGGAAAATGGGAAGGCAGTTCTGCCTCTGTTAATGAAAACTGAGACTTTTCTTTTTCTGCTTCCTGCCTTCAACTCTCTGCAACAGCTCTTTCCAAGCTCAGTTCTTACCACATCAAGAAAAAAACAAAAGTCAAGTAACTCAATTTCTTTCTTTCTTTCTTTTTTTTTTTTTTTTTTTGAGACAGAGTATTGCTCTGTTGCACAGGCTGGAGTGCAATGGCGTGATCTCAGCTGACAGCAACCTCTGCCTCCCAGGTTCAAGCGATTCTCCTGCCTCAGCCTCCTAAGTAGCTGGGATTACAGGCGCTTGCCACCACACCCGACTAATTTTTGTATTTTTAGAAGAGACGGGGTTTCACCATGTTGGCCAGGCTGGTCTTGAACTCCTGACCTCAGGTGATCCACTTGCCTTGGCCTCCCAAAGTGTTGAGACTACAGGCATGAGCCACCGTGCCTGACCAAGTAACTCAATTTCTAGGGAACTAGTCTAATTTTTTTCTAAAAAAAGAAAAAAATATATATATATAATATATATATACACACACATATGACGAAACACAAACCTCAGCCACAGTGCTGCGAATGCGATCCACCACCTGTTCAAAGTCCACCAAGCTGAAGAGCGGCTGCTGCTTGAGACGGTGCAGCTCTGCAGCAAAAGTGTCTTCCTGGTTTTTCAAAATGGATCCTGCAAAATAGGAAGGCACCATCAAAGGAGGACAGAGAATACCCAGGACAGTCAGGGTTTTCTGGGGAGGGCTAATCTCGGTGGGGCAGCAACTTCACCTGCTTCTCAGACAAATGTCATGATTCTGCTACAATCTCAGGATAGGAATATTATCGACCACTCAGCTCTGACCAGGCATGCTGGGGGGCCACACAGTGTTAAGGAAGAAGAGCTTTTGAGGGTGCGGTACATTGGACAAGGAGATTTCTACCTTTTCTAGTCAGGTTCACATTTTGATTCTCAAACATCTGGACAGATTCTCCAACAAATAGGATTTTTTCAGCAACCCTCACTGGAATGTAGGATGGCAAAATCTCCACTCGTAGGGAAAACTGCTTCAGAGATGGTGCCAGCATGTTCTCTTCCTCAATCAGGCGCTAGTCAAGGAAAGAGTACACATCAAGATGAAGTACGAAGCAAGAAAAGGAAAACAAGAAAATATCTAGTAACTCTCCCAACCCATGATTTAAAGTAAAGATGCAGGGACTTCAAATCTGGTGTTGCACAGTTCTCGAACCACCCGTTTTGGAGAGACGTATTTCATCTTCAGGCAGCAGAGTGGCATGGTGGAAGTAAGAGTGGCTTTTTAAATACTGGGACTTGGGCCTTCACTCTGCCTTTACTACTGAGTAAACACTTGCACAGTTGACCAGCTTCCTTACTTATACAATGAAAGAGGTGGTCTTTTTTGTTTTCCAGGTCTTCTCTCTCTGTCTGCTCTGCTGGTCCTCCTCAGGGCACTGTCCCAGACTGTCTTTTCCTCTCAGCCTACACTTCTTATACAATCACATCATCTTCTGTGACTGATCAGTGGAACAGATAGTTCTAATTTTTAGGTCACAGACTTCTCTGCAATCATAAAAGCTATGGACCTTCCAGACAAATGTACAGAAATATCACATTTCATGAACCTTCTGAAGCCACCCAAGGGCCCCAGATTAAAAATCTCCAAGCTCCATGCTGATGATTCCATAGGTAGATTTGGAGCAAGCTGGAGTGCTCTCATGAGCCCCAGGTTCAGCCCACTGAACATTTCCCACAAGTTCCTCAAACTCAACATGCCCGCCATTAGACCCATCTTCTTCCCCGCATACCAGCAGTATACACCCCTATCATGACTACTTGCCCAGTTGCTGAAGGCAGAAACCTGGGTATCATCAATGACTCTTCCCTCTTGACTCATTTCCAAGCACTCACTAGGCCTATCGATTCCACCTTCTAAACATCTCTCACACCTCTTTACTCTTTTTTCATATTCAATGTTAGTATCTTTGGTTTAGGGGACTATTATTTTCACCTAAGTCTCCCCAACACTCTCTTAACTGGTCGACTGGCCTCTAATCTTGATTTTTAAAAAAATGATTCCCCATACAGCATCCAGAGTGATTTATCATGAAGTCTGGCTGTGGTACCCACTTGCTTAAAATTCAATAGCCCCCAACTCTTTTCAGGTTCAAGTACAAATTCATTTCTACTGTTTACATGCACCTTTGTGATCTTGCCTCTGCTTAACTCAAGTTTCATCAAGTACCAACTTAAAAGTTTCAAGTACCACCTCTCCCTCACACCATCTCTTATAATATTTTACTTCAGTCTTTACTTGACCATTTCAATTGAATTACTACTGTTTCCCTAAATGAACCATGTCCTTAATGGCCCCTGTACCTTTACACAGATCATTCCTTCTGCCTGGATATCTCTTGATCACTCCTCCCAAACTCTTTGCCATTTAGACATACCTTCCACTGAGAAGCCTTCTCTAGTCACTCCAAGACCCTATCCCATGACCATGTTCCAAGAATACCCATATTTAGTCTTTTCAGAGCACTTAGTACACTGTAATGTAACTTTTCTACATATTCTAAACATTACATTTTCTGTAATGTTTACTTTTCTACATATCTTCCCCTAAGCTACGAGCTCCTTAGGGACAGAGACTACTGCTTTTTATTTGTATCACCTAGAACAATGCCTGGCACATAACAGGCATTCAATGAAATACTGCCACAGGATAAATGAATGAATGGATGGATGGATGGATGAATATGGACACTGTAGAACTTTGAGGAGTCTAATCAAAACACCAAATGGCCAGGTGCAGTGGCTCACGCCTGTCATCCCAGCACTTTGGGAGTCCGAGGCGGGTGGATCACCTGAGGTCAGGCGTTTGAGACCAGCCTGGCCAACATGACAAAACTCCGTCTCTACTAAAAATCTGAAAATAAAAAATATGAAAATTAGCCAGGCGTGGTGGCACACACCTGGTCCCAGGTACTTGGGAGGCTGAGGCAGGAGAATTGCTTGAACCTGGGAGGCAGCGGCTGCAGTGAGCCAAGATTGCGCCATCACACTCCAGCCTGGGCGACAGGTGAGAATCTGTCTCAAAAAAAAAAAAAAAAAAGAAAAAAACTCCAAACTGTATTTAAAATCTAAAACGTAGCTAGCTATTCCATTAGAGTAGCTATATCTATATAAGTAAGACTTATAATCTCTTAAATGCATATATTGGGAAAGCGGAAACAAAAAGAATCTCACAAACATATTTTCTATTTTATAGTCTCACACCAGTTAAGATAAAGCCAAATGTTTACATCCAAAGAATTGATGGAAGGTGCTCAGCTATGAGCTAAGAAGGGATCACCAGAAGATCATTTGGCTGCACGCTTTTCTGACTCCTGGTAGGAGGGAGTACCAGGAGTACTGCTTTTTGGGCTCTCACCAAGTCCTGGAGTTCTCTCAGTTGTTTTCCTGTCAGTCCCCCAATGCCCAGATCCTCCTCGTCCTCTTCTGGCTGAGCACTGACATTACCAGAAGATGGACCCTGTTTGATAAAGAATTCTTCATGCTGGTCCAAGAGGAGTCCGTGGAGCATCCAGGCTGACAGTTGTTTATACATGACCCCATGACAAACGGCCAGGATTCTGGGCAGAGCGGAAAGTAAGAGGCTTAGAAGTCATGCTTTAAACTGTTACACGATAAACAGAGGTCTGAGAGTTTGATGAGTCATAAGGGAAATAACCAATTAAGTTAAAAATAATTGTGCTATTTTAATTTAAATGTGGGTGAACTAACTCACTGAATTTCCATATTTGCAGCCTACATAATGAAATCTAAAATGTTCAGTATATGTGCTGATATTATTTTAGGGAAGACATTTTCTTTCCTTCTTTTATGTAATTTTCAAAACTGATGGATCCTAAATATGTACAACCGTTTGATAGCAATAAAAAATAAAAATAATAAAAAATTTTAAAAATGGACTTAATGGAGTCTCTTTTTGGCTACCACAGTATTAAATGTGTTTTATTTTTGTTGGAATCACATAGGGAGAGAGCATCCATGCGTGAGGGCCAGGTATACACGAGAAACTATTATCTAGCAAAATTCAGAAACTAAAACAAAATGCAGAATGGTTTTTGGGGAACAGGCTATTCAGATGGTCTCAACGGATCATCCACCAGATAGCGTATTAATTAAAAGGGGAACATGTACCTCTACAATGGAGCAGTATGTGATGAAAACACCTAAGCCAAGCAATCCAACGGCACAACACCAGTCATGGGGTAAACTTACTTTCTGTGCCTTCTAATATGATGTAATGGGAAATAATACCACCTACATAGTATTCTTGCCAAAAAAGTTTAATCCAGATCTAATCATAGGGAAACAATAAATCCAGATTGTGGAACATTATACAGGACAGCTGGTCAGGACTCTTAAAATGTTGACGTCATCCACAACACCAAGAACAACAAAAGGCAAGGGGGATGGTTCTAAATTAAAAGAGACTAAAAAGACATGAGAACAAAATGTAGTATGTGAACACTGATTGGATCCTGGACAGCAAAAAAAAAAAAAAAAAGAAGAATAGCTATGAAGGAATTCTGGGGGACAACTAGAAAAATTTGGATATAGTATTATTGAATTAATGTTAGCTTTCTTGGGTGTAATATGGAATTGACGTTCTATAAGAAAATCCCTTTTTATTTTCTTTTTCTTTTTTTTTTTGAGACAGGGTCTCACTCTGTTGCCCAGGCTGGAGTGCAGTAGCACGATCATGGCTCACTGCAGTTTCGACCTCCTAGACTCAAGCCATCCTCCCACCTCAGCCTCCTAAGTAGCTGGGCCCACAGGGGCATACACCATGCTTATTTTTTTTTTTTTTGTATTTGTAGAGATGGGGTCTCACTATGTTGCCTGAGCTGGTCTCCTAGGCTCAAGCTATCCACCCAACTTGGCCTCTCAAAGTGCTAGGAACACAGGTGTGTGCCACCATGCCCAGCCAAGAATGCCTTTTTTCTAAAGTGATATAAGATGAAGTATTTAGGGGTTAAGTGTTGGGATATCTGTGACTACTTTCAAATGATTCTGCAAAAAAAGTTTGTGTATTTCACATATATGTATAGAAGGAGAAAAAGAGAAATCAAATGTGGGAAATGTTAACAAATGGTGAAACTAAAGGATATACTAGCGTTTGTTTGGGTTTGTTTTTTGTTTTGAGACAGGGTCTCGTTCTATCATCCAGGCTGGATTACAGTGGCGAGATCTCAGCTCAACCTCCTGGGCTAAAGCAATCCTTCTGCCTCAGCTTCCCATAGCTGGGACTACGGGCAGGCACCACACCTGGCTAATTTTTTCATTTTTAGTACAGACAGGGTCTCGCTATGTTGCCCAGGCTGGTCTCGAACTCCTGGGCTCAAGTGATCCCTCTGCCTCAGCCTTCCAAAGTGCTGGGATTGTAAGTGTGAGCCACCGCGCCCGGCCTACAAGTGTTTTGTTATACGTTTCTTTCAACTTTTTTGTAGGTTTAACATTTTTTAAAATAAAAGGTTGGGAGAAAAAGAAATTACAAGAGCTTGAGCATGTTATTTGTAGTATGCTAACTGAATGGAATCGCGCTTTAAAAACATCACATGTGAAGCTATTTACATTTATGCATTTCTGAGTATGTGGTCTGTAAAGTTTGGTCCCTACAAACACAGAACAAACATGTATATACAATATCATCTACATAAGATTTCATATTCTATACACAAAAGTATAATAGAGAATAATTAAGTCCCTAAGGCATGTTCTGGAAAGTTTCCCGCTGTAATGAGGGTTTACTCATGCAGCGGTAAGAGCGGAGATTAAGAGCTGTGAGTGGCCTGGCCGGGTGCGGTGGCTCACACCTGTAATCCCAACACTTTGGGGAGCCAACATGGGAGGATCGGTTGAGCCCAGGAGTTCAAGACCAGCCTGGGCAACACAGCAAAACCTCATCTGTATAAAAAATTAAAATAAAATAAGAAAAAAGGAAAAAACAAAGAGAGCTGTGAGTGGCCTCAGGAAACCATCTATTACAATTTTTCAATGAATGTCACAATTTTTTTTAAAACAAGGAAAATGGAGAAATGGAAAGATCAAACAGGCAGTCTTTGATCACACTCTACACATATTTTTATGCAGTTGTAATCACAAGATAAATACAATTTTGTATCACTTGTCAGTATATATTTATACAAAATATTTTGCATGTGATAGTACCTATACTTTTAGTGGCTTTATAGTCTATCAAGTGAACATATATCATTATTTAAATTTTCTTCTACTGTAATTTTCTAATTTCCTGATATAGTACACAACATTGCAATGAACATGTTTGTGTATATAGTTATTTTCTTCTATTAAATAATTTTGTTAGGATAAAATTCCTAAGAGTGGCATCATGGGATTATAAAGCATAAACATTTTTAAGGACCTTCAATTTGAAAATACCAGCTACTCAAATACACATGTTTAGACATAGCAAGCAACATCTGGCACATGTAATGGAATTCCTGCAAGGATAACAACATCTAAACATTTAAAAACATTGCCTCAAGGTCATCCAGGCAGCTAAATCCTGGTTTTGACACTCAACACTCTATAGCCCTTTGCAATGCCTGAGCCATAATAAAGGCTACATGGGCTCTTCTGCTCATGGAGCTTTTTCTATCCTGGTCATAACCTTCCCAAGAGGGAAACCTGAAATGACCTGAAAATAAAACATGTGAGAACTCAAATAATTTGACCACCCACCTCCACCACCGACTCCCAGTTAAGCCATGACTTACTTTTCCAGTGCACTTCGAACAGGAGGCAACCCCCCACAGCTGTGTTTGTAGACTGTTTCCAGGATTTGACAACCATGAATCTGGAAAATACGGCCTTGTCAAACTGGATTCCATTCTAACAGTCCATGCAAGACAAATTCTTATTCCATATTCAACCAAGAGGGCACAATCTAGGAGAGATTGGGGATAAACTTTCTTCTAAGATTTACATATAGTGGTTCTCAAAGAGGGACCACTCTCCCATCAGCGGCATCACCTGGGGGCTCATTAGACACGCAAACTCTTGGTTAAAACCCAGCACTCAGTGGTTCCACAAGCCCTCCAGGTGATTCTAATGCACAGTAAAGTATGAGAACCACTGCACTTAAAGCAACCAGAATCATTTAGAGTTGGAACACCAAAGCCAAGGAAAGCTCTTTATTTCAAATTAAGGTCCAATTCAGTCTACTTCTGAAGTATATACTTTTTCAAAAATCCTCTGCCTCTATGTTCTTCAGACTTTTAATTTTACCACTTTGAGGTATAATTTACCATGAAATTCACTCGTTTTAAGCATGCTGATCAACAATTTTTAATAAATTTCAAACACTGGGCAACCATTACCACAATCCAGTTTATAACATTTCCATTGCTCCAAAATGCCCCTTTGTGCCTGTTTGCAATCAATCTCCATTCTCACCCCCAGCCTAGAATCTTGACCGCCTGATTTGTAAAAACTCTGAAGAGCCTTGGTACACTAGTTTCTCTACCACCATCCTGGCAGGAAGGAAGATTCACCCATCTGCAATCCCCCTCTTTTCCACTCTCCTTCCCATAGCCAGCAGAAGCTGAAGGCCAACCAAGACGTGCAGCTAGGCCTGGCTTCCTTATGCTGTCCTCTTTAGCTCTACTTGCCTAGAAGGTCCCCTTTTATTCTGGGAGATAGTTTAATCTAGTGGTTAAGAGCACACTCTTTGGAGCTAGATAGAGCTGGGATATAAACCCATTTACTACTATCTGTGTGACGCTGGGCACATCCCTTAACCTACTTAGCCCTTTAGTGGATTGTGTGTGATATTGTATTTAAAGCACTTAGCACAGTGTCTAGTACACAACAAGTGACAGTAAAAGCTGGATGTTGTTATTTGATGAGGGCAATTAGTTTTGAAGGGCCAATGAGCACCCACTACTGGCTTTGCTGGCACAGCATGAATGTAGCAGAGCACTTGTTTCTACACTTACACAGTTAAAAATGAAGCAGCAATGTGGCAGATTAATTGGTTTACTAGTTATATTAATGAAAATGAACACGCCTAATAAGCTAAGGCACAAATAAAAATCTTAAAAAAATGAAGACTTGAACTAAAGATGTTTAATCCATTTGTCCACTTGATTCAGTTGTGGACCAATTCAATAGGACAGCAGATTCTTCTAATATGAAATCTCAAAGCATTTATTCCTCAGAATTATTAACTCTGCCCAGAAAGGCAGTCTCCTGACTTCTCAATACACCTGATAAAAACTTGTGATAAGAATAGGCTTATTTAATAAACACCTGGCCTTCACTCACTGATCTCAAAATTCTCAGAAAGCTGCCAGAACACTAACCGTAAACCTATTACCTTCTTCCTAAGAATTAACTTTCTTTTTTTTTTTTTTTTTTTTTGAGACAGAGTCTCGCTCTGTCGCCCAGGCTGGAGTGCAGTGGCTGGATCTCACCTCACTGCAAGCTCCGCCTCCCGGGTTTACGCCATTCTCCTGCCTCAGCCTCCCGAGTAGCTGGGACTACAGGCGCCCGCCACCTCACCCGGCTAGTTTTTTGTATTTTTAGTAGAGACGGGGTTTCACCATGTTAGCCAGGATGGTCTCGATCTCCTGACCTTGTGATCCGCCCGTCTCGGCCTCCCAAAGTGCTGGGATTACAGGCTTGAGCCACCGCGCCCGGCCAGAATTAACTTTCTGCTTCACACCCAACAGTTCTAAACTCTTACTGCAGGTTCCTCTCACCTGCAAACATCCACAGCATTTTTTTTTTCTTACCCCAACAACATTCTCAGGCACATCTACTAACATTTCCTCTATCTTCTGGACCAGGAGGTGTTTAAAGACAGAGTCATATTTTTGCATTCCTGACACTTAACATGATAACCAGGTAGATATTGAATGAATGAATGAATAAATAAATA